TACTTGTTAAAATACTTTGTAAACTTTAAAGCTCTATATGACTGTTAGCTCTTATGATATAATTGGTCTGAAGAAATTAATTATTGAAAGAATGGAATAATCCTGGTTTCTTATAGTAACTACAGAACTTATAGCAGATTTGAAATATGTTTCTCATATTAATTTTTTTTATCCTGTGAAATACTCATTGCATGAGAGCTGTCATGACTTACTTTACATGATTTCATATATATGAAAACAGATTATCTGTAAACAAATTAAAATGGAAATTGTTTATACAACAAATATTTCATGAAAACAGTCCTTAAAAATAACTGAGAAACTACCTGTTTACTTGTTTAAAGCCTGCTCAAAGGTAATGGTCAAAAAATTTTTGAAATTATGTGTCACCAGGGGCAGCTAGGTGGTGCAGTGGATAGAGCACTGGCCCTGGATTCAGGAGGGCCTGAGTTCAAATACAGCCTCAGACATATAACACTTACTAGTTGTGTGACCCTGGACAAGTCACTTAACCCCAACTGCTTAGCCAAAAAAAAAAAAGGAAATTGTGTGTCACCATTGAAACTTACATGGTAGTATAATAGATTGTTAAATTCCACCCACTCCTAGCTCCCAAACAGTAAAACGGGGCTCTAATCTTACAGGTTTTAAGCCCCCAACCACACTCCCTCTGGCTGTATGCCTCATGCTATTCTGTATAGGGTCACAGAACATTTAGCTTGAGCCTCCCTACCCAGCCCTCTGCCCATCTTAATAGACTGGCTTCTGGTAATTGACCAGGAGTGGTATGCTAACTAGGGTTGCCATTGATTGGGGCCAGCTTCTTGTGAAAGAGAACACGTGCTACGCTCCATCTTTCATCTTCATACCTTTGTACTTGAATGCACTTCCTTCTCACTTTCACCTTGTACAGTTCCTCTCTTTCTTCAAGACAAAGGCTTGTGTAGTGTAGCAAGTGTGGGTTTTGTGTGTGTGTGTGAACAGCAAGAAGCCCATTAAAGAGACAAACAGATAAGACAGTCTGCTAAGTGTTAAGAGATTCAAGTGCAAGCAAGCAAGACAGTTCCTACGTTTACGGGCCTTACTTTCTAATGTAGGAAGACAGACATAAAGGGGAGGTAGAAAGCCAGAGTGGCGGTGAGGAAGAGGAATACTGTGGGCAAAGCTAAAAAATGGCTAGACTCTAAAATGAGGAATAAAGAGTAATATATAATGAGTCTAGAAAAGCAGATTGGAGTCTGGTTATAAAGGGCTTTAAATGTTCAAATGCTAAACAGAGGAATTTTTGTTTGATTTTAGAACTAGTAGGGAGTCACTGAAGTGTACTTAAGGGAGTCATGTAGCCAGACTTACACTTTAGGAAAACTACTTTGGCAGCTATATGGAGAATGAACTGGACTAGGGAAAGACTTGAGTCAGGAAGACCAACCAGAAGGCAACAGGTCAGGTTATCGGTGTCTAAACAAGGGTGACAACTTTGTATGTGAAGGGAAGGGGATGGATATAAAAGAAATGTGGCGGTAGAAATGGCAAGAAATGTTGATTGCTGGCATGTGTGGTGGAGTAAGATAGAGTGAGGAAACTGAAAAGATGGTGGATGTTAACAATAGGCATAGAAGTATTTATATAAGGACATATATAGAAGCACCATCTGCATGAAGCCTTTCTTGATTCCTCCCAACTACTAGCATCCTTCCTCCTAAACTGTTAGTCAATGAACATTTATTAAGATGCACACAGACACACACACTCACAGGATCATAAGGTTAGAGTTTTAGGGGCAGGTAGGTGATAGTAGATAGAGCACTGTGTCTGGAGTGAGGAAAACTCAAATCTAACCTCAGACACTTACAAATTTCATGACCCTGGACAAGTCAGTTAAGCTTTTCCTGCCTCAGTTTCCTCATGTATAAAATAGGGATCATGATAGCACCTACATCACAGAATTGTTGTGAGGATCAGTTGAAATAATATCTATATAGCATTTTTAGCACAGTGCCTGGGATATAGTAGGTGCTTAATAAATGTTTATTATTCCTTTTCCCTTCTCTGTAAGGAATCTTTAAAAGTCCTCCAGTTCAACCCACTTATTATATGGATGAGAAACCTAGGCTCACTGAAGTGAAATTACTTTCTTAAGAGTGTACTAGAGAAAATTGGACAAAATGATCACTGAAATTTCTTTTCCTCTAAATCTGTGGTGTGTTTTATTACCTTTTATTGGGAAAAAAAAAAGTGCTTGCTATGGGCTGATTTATTGTCATTAAAGTAATGCTCAGGCTTAGCTAGAATTTGGTTCATTTATGGAACATAGTGAAAGGTACCGGTATGATATAGTATAGATCAAGGACTCCAGCCCTTTCTTTGACTCATACTATGTTACTATCACCTAGTTAGTTAACCTCTTATTGCCCACTCAGCTTTTAAATTCTAATGTTATTGAGAAGTTGCTAATCTTCAGTATTTGATATTCCAAAATCCAAGGTCTCCAGGGGGGAAACGAAAAAGGAACCCCATCCCCGTAATGACTGCTGATGGTGATATCCCAGATTATGTTAATCTGAACCTTGAAACTTAGAGTTCTTGTTTTGTGGCAGAAACCCTGATGGTTCATGAAATCTTGGATTTTAGAACTGAAAAGGACCTTCAAAATCAAAAAGTCCAAATTCTTCCTTCTGAAGATGAGAAAATGGAAACGTAGAGAATCTTAAGTTATTTGCCATACCATCACACAATAATAAGGTCACCGTAGTCAAGCTGGGATGCATTTTTTGGGGAGAATTCTTCAACCAGGTTGTTAACTACTTTGGGCTGTATGAATAATTCATTTATTCTGTTATGTCTAGAAACTTGCTTTTAATGTATAATTACATGCTGTTATGAATTTTTGGCAGGTGTGGGGAGGGATTTTGGAACCATTTCCTCTTATGAGATCCCTACTCAGGGATAGAATTGCTGTTGTGTTTTCTTACCTTACTACTTGTGGAATCTTAATTTTTACTGGTGTGGGTATTTCTTAACCACTGCAGATTTAAATCCCTCTTAACTTAGGTTTTCAAGAGTTGCTATAGCAAAAAAAAAAAAATTCATTACATGGCCAGCTTCTTTGAATTAACTAATCTGATCTTCAGGAGAAGACTCCCTCCCTTGCTTGTCTTGTACTCAGTCTTCCTAGTAGACATGTCTATATATAATATAAATTTAAAATAATGTTCTTTTACACGTTTGGCCTGGAATGGGATATTTTATAACACATTCACTTTGGGGGGGGGCTAGGCAATTTGGTCAAGTGACTTGCCCAAGGTCACACAGCTAATACGTGTTATGTGTCTGAGGTTGGATTTGAACTTAGGTCCTCCTGAATCCAAGGCTGTTACCCTCTCCACTGCGCCACCTAGCTGCCCCCACATTCACTTTTTAACAGGGCTAATAACATTGTTCTTAATTACTTTCTTTTCTTCTGTAGCTTTAGAATGAGCTGAGGCAATTTCTTGGCAAAGTATCCTCCATTTTCTTGATCCTTGGGCCAGTAAGCTATAAGAATACTTTGATTCACACCATTCTGCCCTCCTCCGTCACAATCTACACTTTTCACTGGTGGTGTTTGGTGTTGAAATATTTAGATCATTAATTGTAGATAGAGGTATGCAAGAGAAAAATTTAAAAATGTTTAACAGAATAGATGGGAAATCCTATGCAAATGTATGATAATTATGAGCAAATGACATAAAATTCAGTGGTGGCTTTCCCCATCTCATACTTTGATAACAGAACCCTCCTATGGGTGAATTATTTTTAGGCTATTCAGGAGACATAGAGCAAGTTTTTAGCTATCTTCTTATTTGTAAACTATTTCTCTATAACTTTTCTTGACCACCAGAAGGGAATCATCTGTAGTTGATAGGAACGTTCTTCATAAACAAGTATTGAAATGCTCATACATATAAAAAGCATTTCTGCGTATCAGAGGCTTCTGACTGGTTTACTCAATTCATTAATCAAATCCTTGAATTTAAAGGACAGTAGGCTTTTTCTGAGTATAAAATTACAAGTTTTAAAGTATATCCTTATTTAGATCATTATAGTAACATTTTTTTAGGTTACTCTAGGTTAGGAATGTTTTTATAGCCAAAGTGCTATAGAGGTAGGTAATGTTAATCATTGGCACAGGAATAAGACTTTGAAAAAAAGAGTCAAACATATAATATGTATTTGTATACAACTCAGTGTAATATAAATCTAAATTTTAAAGAAATACACTGCTTCAAACATATTTAAGAGAGTGACTATTGAAATAACTTTTAAATGTTTTATTGAAGCGTGGGGAACATATCCAAAGACATTTAGAGATTATTTTTCCACCACATAGAACTTGTCCTCCTTTATTCCTAAATGAAATCTCTTTTTGGCTCAGTGGATTAACCTGTTTTTGCTTTCAGGTTCAGAGAGTTTTGTTTATATATTTTAAACATCGCTTTATGTATTTTGATGAGACTCACTATGTCAACATGAATTCTTTTTTTGCCATCTGAATCACAGGCATGTGGAATAATTTCCTCGTTTTTTTCTAAAAGCCTTTTAAAGTGTCAGATGTCTTTATTCAAATAATGGTTTTTTGGCTGCGTTTCTGTACTGTTAGAGTTACTAATACAGGATGTCTCAAAAGTCTTAGCTGAAAATAGTGCTTACTAGGGACAGCCCTGATTCTTCATATATCCCTAAAAACCCCCACCTGTTTCTTGCTTTTTCTAAGAATCGCCTAAGGTTAATTGAGGACTAAAGTTAAAAGATTTGGGGGATTTTAAGAAGTTTAAAATATTTGGTTTGTATAATATGAAAATGAGTCCATTGATCTAAATTGTCAAGTTAGAAATCTTAATTTAGTCAGATGATCTGTTCAACTTTTTTTATGGTTAGCTATGACTACATTCTATTTTGATATTCCTCCCAGTTTTGCTTCTCTGGTTGTATATTTTGTGAATATATGTTTTTCCTTACAGCTTGATAAAGATGACATGGTGTACATGGAAGCATATGATAAATTACTGGAGTCCTGGCTGACTTTGGTGCAAGATGACAAACATTTCCATAAAGGCTTCTTTACCCAGCATGCAGTTCAGGTCTTTAATTCCTACATTCAATGCCACCTAGCTGCTCCAGATGGTACAAGGAATTTGGTATGTTTTTTAATTTAACCCTTTACATCCCATTCAACTGATTATATAAAAGAAGCATTATCTCATTTGAGCAGGTACTCCAGGTGTTACCATTGCCCATTTTTAGATGAGGAAACTAATGTTTGCAGAGATTCAGTGACTTGCCATTTATTATACTGATAGAAAATCCTTGAAGTGGGTGTTGATTCAGTCCAATACCTCACCCATTATACCACCCTGTTTTCTGGATAACAGGGCAAATCCTGACTGTGTGTGTTTCATCTAGAAGCATAAATATTCCTGACAAAATCTCTGAAGATACAGATGCATTAATTGTCATCAATACTGCTTTATGCACTTAACCTTTTGCTTTTATCAAAAAGAGTTAAACCTCCTTGACCAGACTCAGAAGCTGCTTACAACCAAAGCAGTCTTCTTCACTCAGCATAAAGAGGAAAAAAAGCATATGTAAAAGGTTGTATTCTAGTTTATTTGTAAGAAAATTGTTTGGACCTTGGAACACAATTTTTCAAAGAAATAATTGCTATTTTTTTTTTGAGAACAGGAACTGTCATGCTTTTTTATTTGTAACCTCAAGGTTTATCATAGTCCTTTATACATAGTGAGTTCTTTTTAAATTTTTTTAAATTTACTATTTTTTAACATTTATTAAAAATGTTGAGTTCCAAATTCTCTCCCTGCCACCCAATGTGATAGGCAAGCAATATGATAACCCATTATACATGTGAAATAATGCAAAACATATTTCTATATTATCCATATCACAAAAAAAGCAAGAAAAATAAAGTGAGAAAATTACACTTCAGTTTGCACTCAGAGTTCATTAGTTCTCTCTCAAGTTGGATAGCGATTTTCAACATGAGTCCATCCATGTTGTCTTGGATCAAAAAATTAACATTATTAAGGGGTAATTAGTTTTCTAGACTATTTCAAGTTCTTCTTCTACTGTAATGTAGCCAAAGTATAGAGTTGATCTTACTCGTTTCTGTTCTGGGTTCCTGAAAGCTAGGGACAGGGGTGGAGAGGAAAAGGTTTATAGTAATTGACCGTAGGTGAAGTTTTGAAGTTTATATTTGGCATTCCTCTGCCTCCTTTTTTGTAACCTTTTCCTCCTCCTAGTGCCCTAACGCAGTCCTAAGATCCCAAATAAAGGGCTTTGCCATGCCTTTTGCCCTTTCTCTCCTTATCTTTTTTCCTCCACCAATCAAAATTTCTATTGTTCTGTCACTATAAATGATCTCATCTGTTATTTAGAAAGAAAGCAACTTAGTTGAATTTATTCAGGAACATTAAGGAATTTTCTGGCATTTATATCTGATTTTACATGTTTTTTAAATTATTTTTAATACTCCAAATTGTTTCCTAATTGCTAGAATTTTAGGCAGTGTATTAATTAAGATAAAGTGAAAACTTCTCTGAGGGTCAGGGATGACCTAGATTAGAACTAAAAGTTATCTAAAGCTGTAAAATTCAATGATTCTGCATTTCTAAAGTGTTTGCAGGCTGGGTATCTGAGTCTGCTTTTAGAGTCAGATTCTCTGCCTTTTATTGCTGCTTAAATTCATACAGTTCTTAACCTTCTTCCCCTCCCTTTTTTTTTAAGCTTTCAGGTTTGTGTGTTTGTTTCCAGGGTAAGGGTGGAGGGATGAGAGTGGGAGGAGAGGAGGCTGTTTGACCACATCCAGAGACAGGGAAGATGGCACGTGTTGTCATGTGTTTCTCCCTACTTCTTTTCTCACTTTTCTTCTCTATTCAGTAATCAGTAACCCATTTGTCAACTTGATATGGGTGTATCTACCTATGCAAATATCTGCATCCATCATTACATCCCTTATAACTCCATATTCTTTCAGTTGATAGGGGTTAGATTCTTGGTGGGTTGGTGCATTATGTGTAGAAGCACAAATTAACAGATTGGCAGCTACTGCCAACTTCCTTCTCTTCCTACATCCTTCACCGTAATAAGTTTAGTGTTACTCCAGCACCTAAGTTAAAAAAATGAGCACATTGGATCCTAAGCAATCTCTTTAACTGATTTGGAGTGTTGGAAATTATGTAATGCAATAAGTAGATGTTTTATTGATTATGTCATGTCCCTATCAGTTAATGCTACAATTCTTCAATCTTTGTTTCTTTTAATTGTCTGTAATAGACTGCCAATGGTGTAGCCTCACGTGAGGAAGAAGAAATAAGTGAACTTCAGGAAGATGACCGAGACCAGTTCTCTGACCAACTAGCCAGTGTAGGAATGCTAGGAAGAATTGCTGCAGAACACTGTATACCTCTTCTTACAAGGTACAAACAGTCCAAAGAAACCCCATGGAGAAAGTGTTCTATGTTCAAAATGCCCTGGAGGGTACTTAAAGTGTTTAAAAGACTTTTAAACACCCTTGCCCCGTATTCCAGCTCACTGGAACAAATGGACAGAAACATATTCATGGTTGCATACCCTGGCACATACATTTGGAACACAGGCACTACAGGATAGATGGCAGAAAGAGTGTGGAAAACATGGTACGAGAATGGTTTGACCCATATAAATAAACACTTGGAATATTCTATTTTCAAATGTCCATTGTGAATTATGAGTCTTTGTAAAGATATTAGTTAATGCTGTGTTTACATGTAATAAAGCAAAATTATTATGGTATGGTTAAAATTGAAATTTATTTTACATATCATATTTATATATCATAATCAGTTCAATTTATAATTAGTAGAAATTATATTGTTATAAATTCTTAATAACTAAATTTTCTAATGTTATTAATTATTTTCAGTTTATTAGAAGATAGAGTGACAAGGCTCCATGGTCAGTTACAGAGACATCAGCAGCAGCTACTTGCCTCACCTGGTTCAGGTGCCATTGACAACAAAGTGCTTGATGATCTTTATGAAGATATTCACTGGCTTATTTTAGTTACAGGTAGGGTGAAGGTTCTTTTAAAAATTGCCAACTGCTTAGTTTCAGGCCTGGTAGCAGCTTTAAAAAGTATTATTAAAGTGAAATGCACTAGTATGCATAGAGAATTGTGTGCTATAATAGAAAGAGCATTTACAGATGAGACCTGAGTTTGAATTTCAGCTGTGTCAGATACTAGCTGTTTGACTTGGGTAAAGTGCTTAACCTATGTAAGCCTCAGTTTCCTCATCTGTAAAATTGAGATAATAATTTCACTGTTTCCTCACAGGGTTATTTTGAGAAAGAAGCCTATTCATGTAAACTATTTTGGTTTCATTTACTTTTTTATAATGTACTATAGCCTCTTAGGGCTTTGTTTAGGTCCTAAAATTTTTCTCTTTTCTAAATGACATGAAATAATTACTTTTAAAAAGAAATAGTGACAAATATCATGGCAAAATATTGCTTTTATTTGTCAGTAGTAAAAAAAGGTTTGCAAAGCAGTATACCTATTTTGTCTTATTTGATAGCAGCTAAGTGATGGCATTACTATAAGTATTATTATTCCCATTTTATAGGTGAGGAAGCTGCTTAGAGTCGATTTTTAAATAATGAATGGAATCTTGGACCTGGCGTAGAGAAGCCCTGGGTTCAGATCCTGTCCCTAATACTGGTTAGCATTATCAAATCAAACCAACAAACGTTAAGTACCTATCACATGTTCTTCTAAGCATTAAGGATACAAAGTAAAACAAAAACAGACCCTGCTTTCAAGCAGCTTACATCTTATTAGGGTGGGGGAAGGGATAGAGGGAGGTGGAGTACAACATGCTCTGTGACCATTGGCAAGTACTTAACTTTTCCAGAGCTCAGGCAACTTTTTGAGAATCATCTAAAGTCATAGATACATTGCAGTTTACATTGGTGGAGGTAGCATATTAATGATGTCACAAATAATTGACTCATTACTCTTGACATAGACTGCCTTTTCATATTACACATCTAAATTTATTAATAACAGAGTGATCATATATTTATATAATTGTCTATAAAGTATGTTAGTGAAATGATTTATTTCCTTTTCTTCAGGGGATATTTTTAATCTGATTTTATTCAGAAAATTGTAAAATATTAGAAGGGAAGAGACTAAAGTCTTTTCTGAGCCAGCTGCATGTTAATATGTTTTCCATTGGCATCAGCTTTTAATATGGTATAGGACTTTAAGTAAAACTGTAACTTTACACAGAATTTCATTATTCTTTCTAAAATGTCAGCGAAAAGGCAAGGTTCTAAAAGGTAAATTCTGATGGCTAAGAACTGTGCATTCACCTTTTTCCCTCATTTTTTGAAACTGAAGGCTACCTCTTAGCTGATGATACTCAGGGAGAGACTCCGTTAATACCTCCAGAAGTAATGGAATATTCCATTAAGCAATCAACTGAAGTTGACATTAATACAACACTTCAGATCTTGGGATCTCCAGGAGAGAAGGCTTCTTCCATCCCAGGGTGCAACAGAACAGATTCTGTAATTAGGTAATACTAAATATGTAGCTACATTCTTATAATTTCCACAATATTATAAGCATTAAGTTGTCCAAAAAGTGACTGTAAGTACTTTTTATATTTAAATGATATAGGAAAAAAAATGTGAAGGTTGCCAAGGCTTAGGCATATGAAAAGTGGTTGCTAGAACATGTAGGTATTATGCATATTTAGATAAGAGATACTAGTTATAGGAAAAAAGGGGGGTATGAGAGTTATCAAATTACTATGAATTTAATCCTTAATTAAAGGAGGTATTATTTCATGCAAAACTGAAAAAAACCTGAGTGGGAAATTAACTATAATAGAATTTTAAGTAATAAATAATAACTTTAAATTGAAGGAAGAATGTATATAGTATTTCATGAAATCACAATCTCAGAGTTGACAATAACTTTAAGGGTCACCTAGTTAACACGCACCTGAGCAGGAATCCTGTTTTATATCATACCTGAAAAGTGATCTTCCAGGGGCCACTTGAAGATTTCTGTTAATGCATAGCTTATTATCTTATGAACCTGTTTGGCTTTTGGAAAGCTGATACTGTTAGAGGCAACTTGGTGGTTCGGTGGGTGAGTGCCAGACCTAAAGTCAGGAAAACTCATCTCTGAATTCAAATCTCACTTCAGACACTTACTAGCTGTGTGACTCTAAGCAAGTTACTTAACCCTGTTTGCCTCAGTTTCCTCACCTGTAAAATGAACTGGAGAAAGAAATAACAAACTTCAGCATCTCTGCCAGGAAAACCCTAAATTAGGTTATTAAGAGATAAGACTGAAAAATGACTGAATGACACATAGTGTTAAAAAGTTTTTCTCTAAATCCTCATGTTTCTTGGTTTAACTTCTACCTATGCTTTCCTCAAAGCCCAGCAAAACAATTGTAATGCTTCTTGACAGCTCTTCAAATCCTTAAAGATGGCTGTCATGGCTCTTTACCTCTCCATCCCACAATATTCTGAACTAAACATTCCTGGTTCTTTAAACTGATTTTTATGTGGCATGGTTTCAAGTCCACACACTATCCTTGTCTCCTTCCTCTTGGCACATTCTAGCTTGTCAGAACGCAGATGAGGACTTAATAGGATTTCTTTGATGTATGGATATTTTTCCATTTGTACAAATAGCAATCCATTTAGACTCCTCATTTTGTGTGGGTCTTGTCTCCATGTTCTCTTCTGCAGAATATCTACCTAACATGCTAGAGTCTTGGCTCTACACCAGGGATGGGGAACCCCTGGCCTTGAGGCCACATGCCTGTCCCTGCTGTAGACCCTTTTACATTTAAAGAATACCAGTATAGCACTCAGCCTGTCTATTTGTTAAAACTAGCCTGTGTCCTTTTCCAGTCATACATCTCTTTGCTAATTTCCCTCATGTTGTCTTTACAAAGACCAGTCCTTCTGTAGCCAACTGTTCCCCTTTACGTCACCTGCAATGCTGAATCTTTGACTTGTGATCAAGGTGCTATGAAAACCACCATCTAGAAGGAATCTTGTCCATTTGGGCCCTGTCTAAGGCATGTCATGAAGGCATCCAAATATCTTTGACAAGCATATGTCTCCCTGTTTCATGCCTTGCTCAATGTTATAGTTGGGGTTACTGAGTAGCATTATCTCCATGATTTTATTTATCGTGGAATCTTGTATAATCTTAACATATGCAGGAGAAAGCCTTTAAGCTATATTTTGCTCTACTGAGTCAAATGTTTTTGTGGTATAGTGGATCAAGTACCAGGTTCAAAGAGAGCCAGAGAACCTGGGTTCAAATTCTACCTCAAATACCCACTAGCTGTGTGGCCCCAGTCCAGGCACCTAAGCTCCCTCATCTTCAGTTTCCTTGTCTGTAAAATGGAGATAATTACTATGCATTTATCTGACAGAGTTAGATGTGAGGATCAAATGAAAATGTAAAATGCTTTGCAAACCTTACAGGGCTTTGTCAATGTTAATAGTATGATAATGAAGATAATATCTTATAGGGCTGTCCCTGTTTTCAGGATAGTCAGCTATCCCATGAATTTCTTCTGTGTATATTTGGTCTGGTAAATCCTCTTTTCCCAATTTCATTTTGCTAAATGCTATTTTGACTTCATCATATAGTTCATTGGGGATTGAAAGGAATGTTGGGGTCACTTGTTCATAATGAAAATAGATCAGTTGAGATCTGGGTTTCACTTTTTTTAAACACTACTTAGTATTTTATTTTTCCCAAATTACATAAAAACAGTTTTTAAAACTGTGAGTTCCAAATTCTCTCTCTCCCTCCTCCGTCCCACCCCTCTTATTGAAAAGGCAAGCAATTTGATACAGGTTATATGTGTGTAGTCATGCAAAACATTTCCCTATTAGTCATGTTGTAAAAGAAAACATAGACACCCCCCCCCAAAAAAACAACCTCAAGAAAAGTAAAGTAAGTAAAAAAAAAAGTATGCTTCAGTCTGTATTCACATGGCATCAGTTCTTTCTCTGGGTATGGATAGCATTTTTCATCATAAGTCCTTCAGAGTTGTCTTGGATCATTGTATTGCTGAGAATAGCTAAGTCATTCACAGCTGATCATCTTACAATATTGCTGTTACTTTGTACACAGTACATTTCACTTTGCATCAACTCATGTAAGTCTTTCCAGGCTTTTCTGAGAGCATCCTGATCATCATTTCTTATAGCACACTAGTATTCCATCACAATCACCTACTACAGTTTCTTTAGCCATTCCACATTGATGGGCATCCCCTCAATTTCAAATTCTTTGCCATCAGAAAAGAGTTGCTATAAATATTTTTGCACATATAACTCCTTTTATAGCCCTTAGGGCATAGTTCCAAATTGCTCTACAGAATGGTTGAATCAGTTCACAACTCCACCAACAGTACCTTAATTTCTCGTTTTTCCCACATGCCCTCCAACATTTGTCATTTTCTTTTTCTGTCCTATTAGCCAGTCTAATAGGTATGAAATAGTACCTCGAAATTGTTTTAATTTGCATTTCTCCAATCAATAGTGAGAGCATTTTTTTCATATGTAGTCATATCTTTTGATTATTTATCAATTGGGGAATGGCTGTTATTTTTTTTTCTTTTTTTGGTGAGGCAGTTGGGGTTAAGTGACTTGCCCAGGGTCACACAGCTAGTAAGTATCAAATATGAGGCCAGATTTGAACTAGGGTCTTCCTGATTGTAAGGCTGGAGCTCTATCTACTGTGCTACCTAGCTGCCCCTGGCTCTTTTTTTTGTAAAGTTGACTCAGTTCTCTCTCTCTCTCTCTCTCTCTCTCTCTCTCTCTCTCTCTCTCTCTCTCTGTATATATATACACATGTGTATATATATACACATGTATACATATATACATATATATTTGAGAAATGAGATCTTTGTCAGAGAAACTTGTTTCAAATTTTTTTCACAGATGCTATTGCTAACTGTATTTCCAATAACATTTATTATATTCGATCTCACCTTTCACCTTGTCCCTCCTCAAAAATTCTGACTGTCCTTTTTCCCATTCTACCCTCCCTTCTATCATCAGCCCCCACCCCCACATTCTCTTATCTCTATCTCCTCCTACTTTCCATAGGGTAAGATATATTTCTATACCCAATTGAGTGTGTGTGTGTTATTCCCTCTTTGAGCCAGTTCTGTTAAGAGTAAGGTTCACTCACTACCCTCTACCTCCCCCATTTTCCCCTCTACTATAAAAGGTTTTTCTTGCATCTTTTATGTGAGTTAATTTACTTCATTCTACCTCTCCCTTTCTCTCAGTGCATTCCCCTTTCTCACGCTTTAATTGTATTTTTTAGATATCATCCCTTCATATTCAACTCACACATGTGCCTTCTCTATACATATACTTCTTCTAACTGCCCTAATAATGAAAAAGTTCTTGTGAGTTACAAGTATCATCTTCATGTAAGGATGTAAACAGTTTAACCTTATTAATTCCCTTATGATTTCTCTTTTCTGTTTACCTTTTTATGATTCTCTTGAGTTGTTTATTTGAAAGTCAAATTTTCTATTCAGCTCTGGTCTTTTCATCAAGAATGCTTGAAAGTCTTCTATTTCATTGAATGGCCATTTTTTCCACTAAAGGATTATACTCAGTTTTGCCAGGTAGGTAATTCTTGGTTATAATCCTAGCCCCTTTGCCCTCTGTAATATATTCCTAGCCCTCCAGTCCTTTAATGTAGAAGCTTTTAAATCTTGTGTTGTCTTGACTTGGCTGCATGATACTTGAATTATTTCTTTCTGCCTGCTTGCAATATTTTCTCCTTGACCTGGGAGCTCTAGAATTTGGCTAATATTCCTGAGAGTTTTCATTTTAGAATCTCTTTCAGGAGGTGGATTCTTTCGATTTCTGTTTTACCCTCTGGTTATAGAGTATCAGGGCAGTTTTCTCTTGATAATTTTTTTTTAATTTATTTACTTCTAGTTTCCAACATTTACTTCCACAAGATTTTGAGTTCCAAATTTTCACCCCATATCGTCCCTCCCCCCACCCCAAGATCTCGTGCGTTCTGAATATCCCTTCCCCTAGTCTGCTCCCCCTTCTATCTCTCCCCCCCTTCTCTTACCCCTTCCCCTTCTGTTTTCCTGTAGGGCAGGATGAATTTGTACCCTATTTCCTGTATTTCTTATTTCCCAGTTGCATGTGAAAACATTTTTTTTAAACATGTATTTTTAGAACTTTGGGTTCCAAATTATCTCCCTTCCTCCCTCCTCACCCACCCTCATTGAAAAGGCAAGCAACTCGGTATAGGTTATACGTATGCAGTTATGCAAAGCACTTCCATAGTAGTCATGTTGTGAAAAAAGTAACTCTTATTTCCCTTAATCCTATCCCGCCCCCCCCATTTATTCTATTCTTTCTTTTGACCTTGTCCCTTCTCAGAAGTTTTTGCTTCTGATTACCCCCTTTCCCAATCTTCCCTGCTCTCTTGTCCCCTTCTCTCTCTAGTTTCCTGGTAACACAGATTTCCATACTCAATTGAGTTTGT